CTATATATTTAATTGCATCAGCTTTCATAACAGGCATACCGTTAACTAAAGACATTAAACATAGATTAATTTATAATACATGTAAATAATTGAATAATTAATGTAAATATTTATATTTATATAAGATATTGTGTACATACTATTTGGTTTTGCTAGTTCAGGTAATACATGCATTGTGGTAAATTCTTCGAGATTAACAAGTTCACTAATTTTAGTTGTACCATGACGTTGAGTACTTCCTCTTGATGCAAGTGTTGTTACCAAAAACAATGCAGCATCTTTACTACGCCAATTTTGTTCATCAGTTGCATATTGCTCTAACATAGACTAAAATAAAAATAATAAAGGTTAGTTTATATATAATATATATATATGTATATATGTGTGTGTGTGTTTTTTATAATTTATATGGTACTAAATAATCATACTTTCACATATAAGCCAAACGAAGACATAGTAATTTGTTCAAATTCCTTTGAAAGTGCTTTAACTAAATCACATGCTGCTCTTCTTCTAGTATCCACATCTGAACCTTCAATGTCTCTTCGAATATATTCTTCTGGATTGTCTTCAAATAATTCCTCGTCTGATGCTGAAGTACAACATAGACTAATTAATAAAAAATCATAAAAAAATAAAAATAAATTTGACATATTTTTCATACCTTTAAATTGCATATTAGGAATAGCAACTTTTTCACAAATAGCAGAGAAAACTGATGGATCATCAAATAGATCACGATACTGGGGCTTAATAACAGTTGTTGACAAAAATTGCAGAGCATTTATAACAAGCTACAGAAATTAGAACATTTTAAAGTAAAATAACAGTAACTTATGGTTGAATTTCAACAAAAATTAAAAATAAAACAATAAATATTAACTGTGTCGTATTTTGGTTGTGATCCAGTCTTAATCAATAATTTCCAAATAATTGTAACTAATGATCGCATGTAAGATGAAAACTCTTCTTCATATTTTTGAGCATATAAGGATATGTTTTCACAAATCTGTGATTGGATTTGATGCAATACACCAGTTTCTTCATCACTCTTTAAAAGTAAATCAATATAAAATAGGTATCCAAATTTGTTAAAGAGAAATTTACCTCAGTTTCCAATTCTTTAATTTCTAATTCTAACAATTTCTGGAAATTACTAATCCAAATTTGCATATTGTCCTCAAAAAATTCTGGAAGATCCTGTAAAAAAATAAAATAAGTTAAAAATGTATAATTATCGAGAAACAAAATTTATAACATTTACCTGATAGTTTAACGAATAAAATATTTTAGTCAGAACAAGTATTACATTAAAAACTTTAGGATCCTTGGACACTTCACATAAATTCATAGTAAGCTGAAAACAAATTTCTTATATTAATAACTTAAAAAATTAATCTTTTGTTTGATACATTAAACAACTGACTTTTATTTTAAGTTGTTCACAAACTTACAACAAATAATTCAGTTAGAGGTTTGGCTAAGGTGTCTAACACAAATTTTATTTCAGTCCACAGCTTCTGAGATTTAAGTTCAAATCTATATTTTCTAAACAATGAATGAGCAGTCTCTAACGCTCCATTGATAGGCGCTAGATCACTTGTTGGTGCATCTATAACATATCATAATATTACATCTTGTTATATAAATAACAATAGTATATTATAAAAATATTGAATACACATACTAGCGAATGCAGCAAAGTTTTCAATAATTGTTGTTAATAAATTTGGCCAATTATCTGGGAAATCATGTTTGCCTATGAGTGAAATAGCATCACTTAGTTGTTTTTGAACAGCTTCTGGAGCATTCAACATAACAGTTACAATTTGTTCTTTTATTAATACCCGATCTTCTTGATGTATTTTATTTTGTAATGTGTCTTCATCCTAAAAAAAATAATATTTTTTTGATAAATCAAAGTAACAAAATACTCGTCATTTACTAGTGACTATAAATTATTTTTTAAAATTAAATTTTCCAAGTTAAAACAGAAACATTATGACTAATTTATCTAGGACCTGAACAGGTTATAATAAAAATCAAAATAACACCTATAAAATTTAAATATAATTTTACTTTCTAAATAAATAAAAAATTTACATTAGCAATTAGAAAGAATGTCATCAACAAAAGTTGCGTCCCTAATATTCTTTGGGAAGTACTACATTATACCAGTGGTTCTTATCCTTTTTCAAATGACAGAACACTTAACATTTTATAAGGTTTTCGCAGAACACAGCAGTAAAATAAAATAGTAATACATACACTTTTTAAGTTTTTAATACATTAACCTAAAATGATTCTATACACTATACAGTATATTGTTATTCTTTCATGTGTTAGAAGTCCAAAAAAGTCAAAATGTTAAGACAATGAAACTTAACATTTTTTTTTGGCAGAACACTTTTACCAAGTTCACGGAACATTTCAAATTTGGAACTCACTGAAATGCAGCCAAGACCATAAATAACCTAATTAACCCGTATGGGTTATAAGAAATACAATGCTTGAGTAGTTATTATATATGTTTAAATATGTAATAATAAGTTAGGTAATTCCAAAATGTAAAAAAACAGTTGTAGAGACAACATTAATGGCAGATAAAAAAAAATAGTATGGTTAATATTGGTAAGTATCAATGTTTTTTAATTTATAGCATTTTTAATATGTAATAATTAATAAATAATATACTTACAATGGGCCAATTTCGTTTTATATAGTTCTTAAAAGTAACTGATCCAATTTGCTTGACCAAATTGCCAATCACATTATCTGGTGCACTAATAATGTGAAGTAATAATAATGGATAATTTTTATTACATTCAATTGAAAGCAAAAAGTTTTCAGCTACAAAATAAACACAATAGGTATTTAATAATATTTGTTACACATGATAAAAATTGTATACTGTATTATTCTAACCTTGTTTGCGTTCACTTGGATCAGGACTTAATGTGGCTTGGAGACATTTCACCAAATTATTAATATTATTAGTTGAAATTTCCATCTATAGAAAAATCATATATATTAATTGTACAATATACATTTAACAGTTATCATGTATAAATCACGAACTAACCGTAGAAATTGTTTACCTTAGTAAAGAAATAATTGAATACCCAGATCTAACTATACTTGTTACAAGTTTTGACGAAAAATGTAGTCAAAGAAAATTAAGTAATTTAACAATATAGGTATGAAGAGAAATACTGAAAATAAATGTTAATTAATAATTTGTATAGTTATTACAATGCTAAAAACAAATATAACACGTTATATCGTTACCATACCGTTTTTACTTCCTTCGAAAATAACGAAACTTCGTCTAGGCGGCTAGGGAAAGACCAAACAAATTTTTATCAATTTTTATAACTAAAACTGCTTATCTATCAGGCTTACCACACTAATTATTTTCAAATACCGGTATACTGATATATGCGATTTAAATCATACCACAAGTATACCGTTCTATGGTATAAATTAAAATATGAATACATGTTTTAACGCGTTTATAACACGGTTTAGACAGCCGCAGCCCATAATCATCGCATGTCAGTAGTCACAAATCACAATATTCAGCATTTAAATGCATCAACACACTTGGGACCACGATTTTAAGATACTGTCTCGAATCGTGCTTGGGACCAAGCGAAAAATCGGGCAAGACAATCTTGAATCCTATCCCCAAACAAACGTTTTTGGATATAAATATATAATTATTTTCGAATATTATCTTCCATCGTTGAATAAACCACTAAAAAAATTAGTTATTTACAAATAAGCTTAAGTGCCTTCCCTGGTTGATTCTTCCCTCAATACACTGAAACCACTGGACCTAATTTAATTTAAGAAACATCTATTATGCTTATTGTACTTTTTTTTATAGATCAGTGTTAGTTCTAGTCTTCTAGATTGGAAATAAAAAAAAATACAAATATTTACACATAAAATTGTTCAACTCGTATTATTGATTTATTACTAGTTTTTAATTGGACAGCTGGGACTATGAACCATGAACATTAGAGGATGGTCTAGAAATTTGCCGGGCTAAACCAGTTTAAATTTATCCTACATTATCTCGCATCGGGATAATAAACCACGTAAATAATATTATTGTCCAAACATCCCGGTGCGTTTTTTTCACACCTGTTTAGGCAAGCCAATTAAAGATTTTAGATTCTAATATGATGTCAGGGTATGTTTGCGTGTAGCTCTAGTCTTCATGGTATCATATTTGGCAGTAGACAGTGACGCCAATCTGTTTTTTAATCACTGGGTAGGATATCTTATAATAGTAATATTACTAATAAGTATCCTCCTATATTACCAAAAATGTATTGCCATTATGCCATGTATTATGAGAATACAAATTATACAATATTAAGCTCGAAACTTTGCAATATTGTAAAATGAAAATCTTCAATCCCAATTCCCAAGGTCAGAACATGTCCTTGTCCTATGTGGCTATCGGCTATGCCTCACCAAACAACCAAGAAATTCGCTAGACTAAACCGATTTAAAATTCTCCCAAATTTCCCAGTACCGAGATTATGATCCAAACGTCCCGGTGAGTTCTTTTTCACACCAGTTTAGCCGAGCGAAATTGTAGACCCATTCGATTAAAATGTCCATAGACTATAATTAAAATGCTATGTGGCATTCACCCCTCTAAATAGTCTAGTCTAGAACAGTGCTAGTGAATTGGCTAGAAAAAAAGGGTTCTGTGTGTAGTGGTAGTAGTATGTACCACAGATATTTACAGATATATTAAATATCTGTGGTATGTACCTACTACCTACTAAAGTTTAAACATTAAAAATGTGTTAAAAATCTCAAAACTCTTTGAAGAAAATGACATAATAGATACCCAGAAAAAAATCATATGTTTTTTATCGTTGTAAACATAATATTTAACATTATATTATATACATATTTAATTGTGTTATAAATAATTGTACCACAGAATATTCTGTGATTGTACTTCCTATCGTTCTTTGATAACGTTGATAAGAATGAAAATTTTTATTCAGATTTCCGAAAAGGAATTTCAGAATATTCTATCTATTGGTTGTTTTGCATTTTATTAGTTTTATATTTGTGTATAATAATAATATAGTAAGGGGTATCACATCTCACCTTACAATGTCTTATATACCGTATGAGATTATTACTCATAAAAGACAAGTATGTTCGCTTTATAAAAAAGCATGCAGGACCATCGAGGATTGGTATCATTACAGGTAAGACACTTATTGTCGGGATCAAATAATTTGAAACTTAACCCTGGATTATTTTAATCATTTATAAGTATGTTAAATGTTCCTACTATAAAATATGACAGTTTACAGAGATTTAAATTGTATACATTTTTTTATTTATTCATAAAGGTCATAGCTGAAGTTGACATTCAAATCTTTTACAGTTAAAATTGATATTATGTGTGGTTTCAAGGGTTGTATCCCAACAATTTATTATTAAGTAGTGATCTGTTACCCATGAACTAATTCTTTACATTATTTTTCTAGACCGTTGATGCGAATCAATATTGTGCGCTTAAGAAAACGTTTTGATGACAACAAGAATTTAATAGATGTACCAACGGCACAAGAATTGTTGAAGAAAGGTCAACATGAGCTATGGGCTAATCAACATTACTATCCTCATCAGTGTAAGTAAAATAGCACATAAGCTAAATAAAAGTTGACAAAAATTGTTTTTTTAAATCATATTTTTAATATACTTCACAATAGGGCTATGAAGCTTCTTAGATTTCTAAAATCTGACTGTTGATAGGAACATGTTTTGTTTTGTTAAGCTAAAATAAAATAAAGTGTTTTTTAGTTTAGGACAAGAATCAACTATAAAAAAAAATGGTTTTAAGGTGTGTATAGGCACTACTTAAAACAAAAAAAAATTCATAACCAATCAGTGTTTGATCACGGTACAGCAAATAATAATATTTTATTTTCTGCAGAACTCTTATGCATGTTAATATTTATAAATAAACAAAAAAGGAGAAGAGTTTTGAGTAAAAGAACCACAATGAGTTATTAGTAGATCAAGAAACACTGTCTTAAAGAATCATTTTATTAGCTGTTATGATTGTAATTAACACATTTTATTATCATTGTGTTTTATTTAACAGGTGATGGTGATATTGATATTTAAATGTTTTATCTATAATATTTTAGGTCAGCGGTTCTCAAACTGTGTTCTGGGAGTAATCTAGGGGCTCCGTGGCTCCCATATATTATCTGTATTAATTAAATTCAAATTATTAAATTATTATTATATTTCTTAGTTACATTCTTAATTTTTATACTTGTATTTATTATTATTTGGACTGTATCAATGTGTATTATTTTAAAGTTTATAACTGTAAACTATTTATAAATCCACATATTTTTTTATAGTCAACATCATTTTCTTTGAACTATTGTTGTCTCAAATAGACATTTCTGAATTTTGGGGGCTCCGTAATTTTTTTTAGGAACATAAGGGCTCCGCGAACAAAAAAAGTATGATAACCGCTGTTTTAGGTTACTGTACGGTATAGATTAAAGTTGTACCAAATACTAATGATGATAAGTGCTAGTATTTGTACTATAATAAAATATTAAATAACTAAATTTTTTTTTTAAATATGAAAAATTTTTTTTTAATAAAAAGAGACCAAGTGAGGATTAGACCCCCACTTCATCCCCTTCCCTTGTATATAAAGAAGTGTAAATATTTTATAGGTGGATAGTAAGGAATACTAGAACTATTATGTATATCAATAAAGAAATTCTTGTAAGTTTAAATTTAAAAATTCTCTAGGCTAGATATGGTGTTCGGCAATGGTTAGAGAATTTAATAAACACTGTTCGCCATGGGGTATTACTCAAAATTGAGTATTAAAAAAAATCTTTAACATTTAAAAAAAAAGTAAATAATTAAAAATAACCAAATGTAAAATATTGAACTTTTTTTATCATGCTATACTATTATACGTTTATGTACATTTTTGTTTTAGTTCCATCTTCACCTGGTGGAACAGCGTTTGACCGGGATTGTTTTCCTCCCGACTGGGTATTGGACTCTTGGCATCCATTAGAAAAAGCTCAGTATCCAAAATACTTTGCCAAACGAGAAGAACGTAAAAAAGAGTACATAGCATTATGGGAAAAACGCTGGGGAAAGCCATTCATTCCACATGATGAACATTAAATGGATTTTCTTTCTGTGGATTGTAGTGGATTATTGATTGTTGCTAATTAGCGATTGTTATCATAAAATAATATGATGTATCATGTATGTAAAATAAATAATGAATAAATTTAGATTTCTGAAGTAAATCTTCATTTTAAATTTTCAACTGTAGCTATACATATTTTGTATTGACTATAAGCGTATAACTATAGACAACTAGTAATTATTTAATAAGTAGTAAGTACCAAACCTACCTTGAGAGTAAAAAATATAAACTAAATTGTATTATTAAGACAGTATAGATGAGTCATATTGTGTTCTATCAAATAGTATCATTATTCATATTTCTTACTTCAAGGTCATCGGTAAAACTACATACTGGCAACCAACACTTTTAAATTGGTACTATAGTGCATAAATCACAATTTATAATGTAGCATTGTAGCACATCTAATTGATCAGACAATATTTTTATAAACTGTACAATATTCAGAATAGATTTTTTAAAGTTCATTAATATTATCCTGAAATGTCTAGGCAAAATATTCAAAGCCACCAGATTAAAAATATATTTTAATAAATGTTTTATACTTATAAATAACAATGTTGAATGACTTACAGTATTTTGATACTCAATTAAAAAGTTATTAATCTGGAGGGATGAAGGATGAAGCAACCTATGTCAACCATTTACTTATACATATAACACATTGTTACGTATCACATAAAATATAGACAATGCAACTACTGTTAAATCAACAGACCAAAGTTCAAAAGCTGTGAAAACTTTACTCCTTGTCCCTTTTGAATTAATGCATTAAGTGTGCCAGTGCCAGTTCTCCCAATTTTCTCCAATTCTATTGGTTAGGGAGGGTGTTATGAAAAAGTGTTCAGATGTCCAGAAAACCTTTTTTTGTGTTTGTCCAATTATTTTAAGTTTACACAGACAAATAATTTTAAAAAAATCAGCATTCGAGTAAAATATTTTTGACAGTCCATATATTTTCCCTCCACAGTTGAAATTTGGACCGTAGGCCACATATTGCCAGCCTCTTATTTAGTCAATGCTTAATATTTGGTTAGTTATTATCCGAATTAACTGTTCACCTTTAAGTTTAAACATTTATCACCTTAGCTGACATTGCAATAAATAATGCCTTTCAATGAATTCAAAATAAAAGAACTTGATCATTATATAAACTCGGGGGATTCCATTCATCCCGTATATGAATGAAGGGCCCTGAGCAAAGGTCCAAAATAATACTATTGTCCTGCACTTTGAATAATTCATTATCAAATAAAACTACAAACCATATTTATACATTTTTGTTTTCTGAAAATGATCGATAAACGATTTATCTAAACCACAAATCCTTATTTTTTGTTTTAATTAAATTTATTTCGAGTAGGTGTTGAATATTGTACTCATTTTTTAGTGAAGAAAAAGAAATGCTGTTTCGAGGCCAATGTTTACTGAGAATTTTTATAAGAAATACCACATATTATATAATTTTGTACTAGATATATTTATTTACATAGGCCCTAATAATCAAATTTAAATATTTTTTCAGGTACAAAAGGACCAAGTATATATTTATAAAGTAAAAATAAACTTTTATATGGCTGAATTATAACTTTAAAACATTGAAGGACTCCGCCCTCCCCCACTCTTTTTAACATCTTCGTAAATTACTAATATAGGTATGATTATTATGTCCTATGTTTAAAAAATTAACATGTATGACATTCCTAATATAAACACTCGGCCAAAATTGAACTTCTTTACAAAGTATCAGTGTTATAAACTCTTAACTAAAATATATGAACAACATAGCCTATACTCTGTTTAGAAAGAGAATACACCAGACGGTAACCGATTTTTGTCCGCATCTCTACATTGTGGCATAGGGTAATGACTGGTGGAAAAGGAAAAATGTGTGCAGAACTTTTATAAACTATTTTTGAACAGAGAATGTACATCTATATTTGATACAAGAGAGACTAATACATTACTGTTGTTCATATCGATGAAGATTTGTCAAATTTTAAATATTCATAATATTAGTATTATAATTTATAATAATAACTAATAAGTAATATCAGTAATTACCAACCCAGAACATCAGATTAAAGCCAGTACTATTAAATTATAAAACAATCAAATCTCAGATTTATTGAATTGATTATGGTTTAGTATGGATAAATAAAAATACAGTTATTTATTTTAAACAATTATTTTTATATCGCTTAATTTAGTTGGTATAGCGAATCATGTTGTAAATATATTGAACCAAATAATATTTGTTTAAAATTTTTCTTCGTCGAGCCCGTGTTTGAACAACATCAACACTGGTACATTGTCATCACCAATATCTCTGTATTCGAGCATAGCTACCATGCCGTTTTCAATATCCATATTTTCGCCAGTGAAGAACTGAAGTTCCTTAAATCTCGTGAGCAGATCTTTCATTACCTGCGAAAAACATAAGGCGGTATTAACTTCGGACAAAATGATAACCCAACGTCCCAACCCATTTTCCATAGACAGTACAATATACAGTGGCATAATTAGGAATTTGTCCGGAGGGGGAAATAAACATGTTTTTACACACAATATACTAACATTTTCAAATACCTATAGTGGTAGCCTAATTATATATACATTAAGGAGGCTCTCGGGGGAGGGGGGGAACTCATCCCCCTCATACTACCCTTAATTACGGCCCTGGCAATATAACAGGGGCGCGATCAAATATCAATAAGAAATCCGTTAAACTCACTTTGTTAATATTGGTTTTGAAGACGTCCACCTCGGTGCTGCCGTTCTCAGTCATCTTGTCCACCAACCGTTTCATGTACTCCTTGAGGTACAGAGTGAACGATTTCTTATCCGGGAACGCGTATGTTTCCATCAGACGGTGGTTGAGCACAACGTCAACACCGCTTTCCACGGCTTCTTCATTGCCTTCGCTGGCCTCTTCAGCGGACGGGTTGGCGCCGTCAAGTGTCACATCACCCACTTTGCGGGTGATCAGCTTGCCGTACACCTCGTACAGGACGCCATCGATCAATTTGAACTTGTAGGTGTCCGAGAACATCTCATCACCGGAGAAAATGTCTTTGAAGATCTTCATTATAAAAAATTGGGCCGGGGGCGCGAGAATCGAACTGTAAAAACGAAAGACGGTGGCTGACACGCGGCCTGGGCAGTGGAAAGAGGGCAAAAGACCCGAAGGCCGAAGTACAAAAGAATCAGACCTAAAAGGAATAACGTGGAATTTATCAACCCGATATCACGAAAATTCTTCGATTTGTTTTAGTCGATTGCAAAGAGGTTGTAAAAGACCAGCTATTCATATTTCATAAAACTCTTTGGAAACATTTTTCTGGCGGGAAAGTTTGATTTATATTTTGAATCTTAATATCCACTGATGTAGTGATGTCGTATTTATTTTATGATCACAGGTTCTGGCCTTCTAGGAATTGGGATAAGTTTATAACTGAACCTACTGAAGTCACCATGCGTCGTGCCTTGTTATTCAATATTCTTTGTTGGTAGAACAATAATTTATTCTGAAACTGAATATCTGAATCAATTCAACTCTACATGACACGGTTATACTTTCATTCTAATCTACTCTATTCAAAGATAAGTTCTCGCATAGGCCCTAGTTTCTTTAATGACTCTTTATTTTGTTTGTTTTTGTTTAATATGTATCAAGTTTCAATTGTAGTAAACTCAGTGTCGGCCTGGTACACCAAATGCCCATGGATCCATTTTTTTAAGTAGCCCCATAATGAAATACAAAGGCGCCCGAAAAATGTACATGACATTTTGGAGTTTTATCGATTCTGCCGGCTGTCGATTCCACCCGATATTTGTTTATAGCGATTCCACTGACTATTTACAATAACCGATGTATCACAGTATACGGTATTTTTTTAATCAACCGTATAGATACTAAGATACACCCAGTTTATCATAATACTTTTTTATTTAAATAAAAACATTTTAAAAAGCAATTCAAACATTGTCGTCCACAACTGAAAATATAACGCAATTAGATATACATAGATTATGGCAAAAAAGCAATTAAATACAATGTTCAATTTGTTAAAATAGTAAAATAAAACAATTCCAAATTCTTTTTTCAATTTTAAATACCTATAGTGATTGGTTTATTTACAAAATTTTTAAAATAGTAGTTTGACGCCAGTCTTATATGACAGTAAATTTATCAATTTTTTTATTTAAATAATCGTCAAAAATGTTTGTTATTATTTTTTTAAATTTCCTAATTTTCATTTTTGCTTGTTTTATAGTTGTATAGCAGTTTAGCTCTCTTATTACTCTATAAAAATCAGTTTGTAGCTACCATTTAATGTTCTACTTCATCAATGTAATTTTGTTATGAGCGAACTGCAAATTACTTTTATTTCTAATATTACCGATGTACTACATGTAATAAAATATTAATATATATGTATTGACGTATTGTGTATTTGTAAATGTAATAATTTACAAATATTCAGTGGATTGATGGTCGGTGGAATCAATATGTAAAACAATTCGGCGAAGTTGATGAAAAGCTCAATCGATAGATTTCTTACAGGTAAAAATGTCATTTCGGGGCAATTGACATACGCCTGACATTTTGTTGAAACAATTTTTCTTTACCCTGGACCCTAAAAGTTCTCAGGACGGCCATGAACCCTGTAAAGAAAAATTTAACTTAAAAAATTCCATACAGTTAAATATTTTGATAAATACTTAACGGGGTCCCTACTCCTTAATCTCTATAAAGACCAGGCGAATACGCTAAGCAAATAAAACATTTACGAGACCCTAAAAAAAACCGAGGGCCCCCCAAAAAAAAAAAAAATTATTGATAGAAGTTGAATTAGATAGTATAAATTAAAAATACAATTTTATTTTATTCCCATTATTTTTATGATTAAGAGTTTTTTTCAAATATATTTTTGTGTATATTTTATACCTAATTCTTATATCAGAAAGAACTAAGAAAATACCTTAATTTATTTTTCCATCCTAATCTTATGAGTTGTAAGTATTGTGACAACTGTGAGTAATTATTAATTTTCAAGCCCCCCTCTCTTTGCAGTGAAAACTTGCATATGACACGCC